CCAATGGCAGGCACGTATATCTGCCAGATCGTTCGCAAACACGGATCCGCGTACCCGTTGTAAATACTGCGATTTAAACAACGCGCCGCTACCACCGTGTTTGCTATCCCTTATCGATGATTAACAGGCACGTGGTGTGGTTTGAAAAAGGCTGCTGGCTGGACCGAGTGAGAAGGGAAGAAGAATTTTTGCGATACTCTGCCGGATTTTGTAATTCGGTCTTGCGAGGTTAAAGGGATATTCTAGTCTAGAAACTTCGAAAAATGAATTCCTTTTTATTTAATTTTCTGAAAATGTATGACTTTAAAAATATTTCTAACAGTGCATTTTGTTGAGTATGATAAATTAATGGAGTTATTAGCGTTTGTTTATTACGTGTAACGAATTTCCCGATACTTTCCCGAATTTTGTAATTTAGTCTGGCGAGATTATTAATTCCTTATTTCATTTTCTGAAAGTATATGTTTTCGAAAATATTTTTACCAGTGGATTATTAGATTTGGAAAATTAACGAAATTGTTAACGTTTGCTCATTTCGTGCGACGAATTTTTCCGATACTTTTCCGAATTTTGTAATTTAGTCTCGCGAGGTTAAATACTATTGTAGTATGGAAACTTCAAAAAATCTTTTTTTTTTTATTCCATTTCCTGATGTATCTATAAAAATATTTTTACCAGTGAATTTTGTTGGATTTGGAAAATTAATGAAGTTATTAGCGGTTGTTCATTGTGTACGACGAATTTTTCTGAATTTTGTAATTTGGTCTTGCGAGGTTACCAATTCCTTTTTATTTCATTTTCTGAAAGTATATGTCTTTGAAAATATTTCTACCAGTGGATATTATTGGATTTGGAAAATTAATGAAGTTATTAACGTTTGTTCATTGCACACGCCACTTACTCATATTCGTATGAAATACTTTAAATGAATTTTCCTCTATACCATATTTTTCCAAATGGTTGCCATGATATTTCAAGTTCTAGTTGACCCATCGCAATCAAATTTGGAGTATATCTTCAGCACACGTATCTCTATCATTCGTACAAAAATTTTAAACATATAATGCTTTTAACTATTTTTTTCTTTTTTTTTTTGGTACGCTAATGTTGAAAGAAGCCAAACAGCTATTTGGTGAACTGTATGAACAGAAATCCATCTAAAAAAGTGACCAATTTTTAATTGCAAGGATTTAAAAAACTGTCGAGTAGTATAATAGTGCATAATAGTGCAATAATATATAGTATAATAATAGTATAATTGTAGTATAATAATAATAATAGTATAATCGTGTATTTTCATAAACAGGAGAACGAAATTTACTAATGTGCAAAATTTGAACTAAATTGGTGACCAGAAGATCTTGTACTCTCCTTTTTAGTCAACTCTCTCACCACTACTGCCTTCTAAACTCATTGCCTTCCACGTACTTTTCTCACACCCTATATACCCTTACGCATTCATTCTTTTTCGTTCTAATTCTTAACCTCCCTCATTTTCCCACGTAATTCTTAACCTCGTTCTTAACCTCATTCATTTTCTCACGTTCGACCAAAATTCGTCAATCATTTTCCCTGCTATAAATAGTCCTCTTCTACTCTATTCTCCTGCTCACGGTCATTTTCATACTTCGCCATGCACTCATATTCACATACTCATTAACATAAGCTATAAATTTATATATATATATACACATTTACTTAACATCTGTAATCATCCAAAGATTATTCAAGTCAAATCTCAAAAAATTTTAAACTGCGAACCTCAAACATGAAAACTTCTGAAATTAAAGGATCACAGAGTTTGGAAGTCTAAAAATTTGAATTTAAATTTATGTTACAACATATTCCTATTCCAAAGTCTGTTCCACAAATGAATTAATTATCACAGCCGGAGGTTGACGAATATTTCGCTCTAATTGTGTCAAAGTGTACAGTGGAAGCATATTCGCGAATGCATTTGGCACAAAGAAAGCGTTAACCTTCATCCTTAATTAATTCCGTGTTCGGAACATCTGCGCCCCTGTTACAGCCTCAGTAGCCTAGCTATCGAACTGTCTTAAAGAATTCCATGCCCGTCAGATCCGCTCGGATTCCGTTCGAATTAAATGAATTTCGTTTGCCTGTCTGTAGAAAGCGTGGATTATGAAAACCAGACTCGCGACGTGAAAGGACCAAGCGAACGCGAAATTTCCGCGCGAATACGGATTCCCAAAGAGGCTCCCGTGGTTTCCGGTCGAAGGGGCGAAAGTTAGGAACGAGCCGCCATTGTCTGTTAACGTGGCATTCACGGGGACGAACGTTCAATTTCCAACGGTTCGAGCCGCAATTTTCCCTAGGCCAGAGCCAGTAGTGGGACGATAACCGTAACGCTAGATGTGTCCTAGGGCAAGAAGCCTAGTCGCCTCCTGTGGGCCACTGACGCTTCGTTTATCCTCTAAAGGCTCTATATTGAAGGGAAGTCTATTATATCGGAATCATTTCTGTCTAATAGACAGCTGACAATGTCTCGTCGCAATCATCGTGATACTGATTCCTTATACCTTATGTTGCGACAGCAGTGACGAAGGCTAGACGTGACTTACCGTGCTTCTAGCGGATTAACCACTTGCGCTGGCAAGAAATTCGCAGACGTGTGCCAGAACGGTCCAGTGTTTCTGTCACAATTGTTAACGACGTGTGTACCACGTCGTTGGCGATTCTGCGACAAAAGCATTGCGACGTGCGTGGCACGTCTTTCCAGCGCAAGTGATTAACCCTTTTGTTACTATAGAACAATAAAGCGACGATATAGCGTACGATATAGCGACTATAGTCGTTCTCTATAAAATGCCACTGACATACTGCGGTCGATTATAGTCGCTCTCCGTAAAATACCACTGACATACCGCGGGTATGTTGTTTTGCTACTATAGTTGTTTTGCTTAAGATGCCGCGTAGACAAAGGTATATTTCGTTATTTTCTTGAATTTGTTTACCTTTATTTGGATTTAGTATTTTTTAACAGATTTTATCCCACTCTTTAAAATAATCGGCAGCCGCTACCGATCTTCCTAGAGCACCGTACACATTTCTGCCGCGGTGGTTCGTTCAGCGGAAAAATATAATTTACACAAAGGCACAGACTATGGACAACCCCATAACCTAAGACCAGACCCAACCCAGATTGTATCTACGCGTGACTGACACACCGAAGCGACAAAGAGACATCTACTCATAATTCATGATACTGACGACCAAAACAATACCGAAAGGAAATCTTGACAGTTCCTTGACAGTTTCCCACTCCTCAACTAAAGGTCCTTCCGAAACACCCATGTCCAATGAAGAAACTCTATCTTTCCTCCACCAACAGCCACTCTTAATCAATCGAAACAAACGCGAGGAGAAATGAAACGGAACACGACGAGACAAGAGAGACATAAATTAGAACTCACTCGGAACACATAGGAAGACTTAAATCGGAAGTCGAAGACACCACATCAGACGTAAATCAGAAGTCAAAGGCAACACACCAGAAATCCTATAGATGCAAAACAAACTCAGACAGGACTCACTCAAGACGCATACACGTCACATTCAAAATCGCAACTACCAGTGTAATAAAGTGTATACAAAATAAAACTGCTCTTTATCGCACACCCAAGTGCTCAGTATCTCGATGAGTAAGACTTACTGAGAGAAGGCATCCATCACGATAAACCTCGACTGCCTTCGTGCAACAGTTAAAAACAATGTTTAAGGGCTATATGTAGGATACCAAAAACAGGATTTATTTTGCCTTCAGCTTACAAAAATAACGTGTATGTGTTTCTTCTTTTATCGAAGGAATATCGGGTCTGCGCGAACGGTTTGAGACACCCGAAACGGACAGAATAAAATGAACAGAATGAAACGAACACTGAACGCGGAAACTGATTAAACGCAAGAAAATAATACTAAAATAACGTAACTATAACATAACACTGTCGCTGTGAGTCTTCTTCCTCCTTTTTAAGCCGATTTAATTGATCACATTGACACATGATGAACTGACAACTGACAATGAGAGCCTCTATATTCCAATGTAGTTTGCTATATCTGAATCATTTCAAAGTCTGATGGACACCTGACAATATCTCGTCGCAATTATCGTGATATTTATTCCTGTACTGATATCTCAAAATGTATATGTGTTTGGGTCTTCTTCTTGCTTTGGGATCCTTTGTCTCAGTGAGTCATTTACCTCCTTTTTAGTTCGGTTAATTGATCAGATTGACACACGATGAACTGGCAACTGATAGGCTCTATATTCCAGGACATCCTATTGTATTAGAATCATTTCAGTGTCTGATTGACACCTGACAATGCCTCGTCGCAATCATCGTGATATTCATTCCTTGTACCTTAAGATATATCTATTTGAATCTTCTTTCTTTGTAGTCCTTTATCCCTACGATTCTTTTCTTTCTTCTTCTAATCCGCCCAATCGACCAGATTGGTGTACGATGAACTGGCAGCTGGTGGGGATAACCGGCAACCCGTTTGCATTATTAGAGACCGACTGGTAGTTCCTGTTATTACAGGAATTAGGCGGATGTGGGTTGCCGACCCAGTGGTATCTGGATTAGGTCTAGGTTAGAGTGAGGTGAGGTCCGGGTGAAGTTGGGTAATGCTCCCTTTCGGTCCCCTTTCTGCGTTCTAATAGCACGACGCGAAGATTGGTTTTTCCCATTCGCGGAACGACGAATTTCAAAGCGGTGGTGTTTTTCCTACCCGATAGGAATCCATTTCACGTGGAGCGGCCGTTTTCAACGAACAAGTGGCGCGGCCGGAATGAAAACTGATAAACTGCGGCATGGCCGGTGGTTAATAGCAACGCGATATCGTGTCAGGGAGAGACGAGGGTCGAATCTATGGGATCGTGTTTGGAACGGGGCTGATACATGATGACGAGCTCGAGAACGCATTTCAGCGGACACGTTTAACGTTGGCATAACGCTGCTGTGCACCGTGTGTTGCAGAGAACGAGCACGAACCTATGGGGCGAGTGGATGGGAGTGATGCACGGTGACGAGGTGGAGTACGTGTTCGGGCATCCGCTGAACTCATCCCTGGAGTACAGCGTGGAGGAACGACGCCTATCCTTGAAGATGATAGAACACTTCTCCAAGTTCGCCAATATGGGGTAAGCTATCTCTTAACCACCGTAACGGTTAAAGTCCTTGCCTAGGGTGGCTTGTCTAGGGACTTTTTCCAAAGCTCAGCGAGGAACTGTATGAAATACCACGCGAAATTCCTTGAAAAATAGCACGCCTCTACCCTGGCAGTGTTTCTCGCTGAAAAATTCATGGAAATTTACTAGCCTGTCGCTCTTTCCTCCCCTAACTTCCCGCAACGTCGTCGAAATTCCCCGAAACGACTCAGACCGCCTGTCCTCTGAAAAAGCTCCCGACGACATCGAGCCTATAGCCCATAGACGGGAGTCAATTTTCCTCTTAACGAAATGAAATTATCGATCCGCCTCTTGTTTACACTGTACGCGTTTCCGTTGACCCAGCACACGATTTTACGAGGTAGCATTACCCGCGCAGAGTCCAGCGATCTTCGCTATTCGGCTCTATTAGGTCTACAGGCCCCCGAGTTCCCATCGAAGTGATCATGGCGAAAGAAAGACAAGCGTTCCCAGCGACCTCTCTATAAATAAATTAAACCCCATTTCACGGGGATGGTCCGCTTAATGGGATAAGAATCGAACGATATTTCATCCCTCTAGGATCAGCCGCTCGTAAATCAACGTCTCGCAGGTGAGGCAGGGCGAATTTATCGGGATTTAAGATCATCGAAACGTTCGTACCGAATGAGAATCGACGATTCCCGATTCTCGCTGGACGAATTATCCTGCAGCGAGCAACGTTCACACCCTCGCGATTAGACATTCGAATATTGTACGAAATATTCCAATTCTAAAATAAAGATAAATAGAAATGAAAAATTAATATCTGAAGGAAGAAAAAATAATTGAAAACTGAGAAAGAAGAAATAATTAACACCTAAAGACAAAGGAAAAATTATTATGTTGTTTAACACGTTGACTGCCGTGGGGGTCACCGGTGGGCGACACTCGGCTTGGCTACAGCGCCGTGGGGGCCACGAAAAATAGATTAATCACGATTATGCAACTCACCTTATCTGCTGTAAATAATATTTTAACATAATATACCTCGCATAGTAAAAAATTCATGCTGACGCTATGGGAAAACCACGTAAAATGCGCGCGGCAGTCAACGTGTTAAGGGGTGGAGTGTCCAACCTCACTTCGTACCCCCCACCCCCCTTGTTCACGACGAAAATTTAAATGTTACACTACCGAGACCGAACAGATAATTGACTCGAATTTCACGAGACAATTTCCACAGTGACACTAAGAAACAGCGTTTGCCTAATTCTCGTGTACGTATAGCTATGGATAGCACAGCGAGGAAGGAGGTTTGACAGGAGTACAATACTGGAGAATTAAAACTGTACAAAATGTGCTTTATTAGGGTTTTGGTTCGGATATACACTTAATGACAAAAGTTATGAAGCAATCTAATCATTTGGGAATTTCGGTATATATAATGCATTATATTATATATGCTGCTAGTGGACTATCAGTACGGCTACTTAGTAAGCCCTGTCTTAGACTGAGATACTATTGGAATGTTGGAAAATTGCATATACAGAAAACGTAATTATATTATATTTATTATTATTATTATTTTAATTATATTTAATTATATTTTTCAATTATTATTCTATTCATTATACTATATTTATAGCAATTATATTATATTATATTATAATATTACTTTATAATTATAAATATGCTATATAATAGCATTATATAC